ATTATTATTATTATTTTGAGTCTAATATAAAAGACAAAACCCCCAAATAATACGCCTCTTCTTATATTTCTTCAAGATGAATAAAGAGACCATGGAGAATCCCCCTTCACACTTTTGTTAGAAGGAAGAAAAGTTAAAGATTTTAATCTTCTTCCCTCTTTCAACCTCAATCTTAATCTCAATTTGTTATGATCTTTGATTCTCTCTCTGATCTGAAGAAAAAAAGAGAAAAGATTCAATTCTTTTTTTATATAATTACATCAACCAAAGAAAAGGAAATCAAAATCAACCAGTAAGAAGCTAGATCACGTGGGTGTCGTCGGAAAATGTCTGAAGATGACGGCGGTTGTGGTGGTGCTGGTAAGTCCAGAAACTCCGGCGAGTATTTCACGCCATACCCAGATCAAGTTCTTGAAAACGTCCTTGAAAACGTTCTGGTTTTCTTGAAATCACGGCGAGACCGTAACGCCGTTTCGCTCGTCTGTAAATCGTGGTACCGTGCGGAGGCGTACACTAGATCGGATCTGTTCATCGGGAACTGTTATGCGGTGGCTCCACGGCGGGTGACGGACCGGTTCAAGAGAGTCCGGTCGGTTTCTGTGAAAGGAAAACCCCGGTTCGCTGATTTTAGTTTACTTCCGCCCGATTGGGGTGCGCACTTTAGACCTTGGGTGTCCGCCATGGCTACTGCTTATCGTGCGCTGGAGAAGATATATCTGAAACGGATGTCGATCACCGATGATGATCTTGCTGTTATTGCTCATTCATTTCCGAATTTCAAGGAGCTCGTTTTAGTTTGCTGTGAAGATTTTGGAACCAGTGGACTCGCAGTTGTTGTTAGCGAGTGCAGGTAAAGATTTCCCCAAATTAGGGTTCTTAAATCTAGGGTTTTCAGATTTCAATCTACGATAACTTAGATCTGTTTACTCTTATCAAATTCACATAAGGATCTGAATTCTTCCCAATTTCGATGCTAATTTCACCAACAATTTGTTCGATTTCGATTGATTCAACCGAAACTTAACCAATTTGTTCGTTCGATCGAATGAAAATGTGATGAAGATTGATTGAATTAAATGATCATATTACCTCGTTTTGAAAAATCAGGAGTCTTCGTGTTCTTGAGCTGATTGAAGATGACGTTTCAGACGATGAAGTCGATTGGATTTCTTGTTTTCCTCCAGAGGGTACGACGAATTTGGAATCATTGAGTTTCGATTGCGTTGAATCCCCCATTAATTTCGAGGCTTTAGAGAGGCTAGTAGCAAGATCGCCATTGTTAAAGAAGCTTCGATTGAATCGTCACGTTTCAATAGGGCAACTTCAGCGGTTAATTTTCCGGTCACCACAGTTGACTCATTTAGGCACTGGTTCATTTGCTCCGTTAGAGATCGCCGGCCAGCAACAAGTCGATAATCGAGAACCCGATTACGGTTCTGCTTTTGCCGCCTGCAGATCGATAGTTTGTCTTTCGGGGTTTCGGGAAATCTCTCCGGAACATCTTCCAGCGATATTTCCAGTCTCTGCTAATCTCACCTCATTGAATCTTAGCTATGCCAACATTGATGCCGATCAGCTCCGGCCGGTTATTCGCCACTGTCATAAACTACAGGTTTTCTGGGTGAGTTTTGTTAATTTTCCGTTCAATTCATTACAAAAATCCGTCTGATATTCGATCTTTTTGCAGGCACTTGATTCAATCTGTGACGAAGGACTTCAGATGGTGGCGGATTCATGTAAAGATCTTCGTGAGCTTCGAATTTTCCCAATCGATGGTTCCGAAAATATCGAAGGGCCGGTTTCCGAAGTGGGTCTTCTGGCGATTTCCATCGGTTGTCGAAAACTGCAATCAGTTCTTTACTTCTGTCAGCAGATGACTAATGCCGCAGTCATAGCCATGTCTAAAAACTGCCCGGATCTTGTTGTTTTCCGGCTCTGTATTATTGACCGATACAGACCGGACCATGTCACCGGTGAACCGATGGATGAGGGGTTTGGAGCCATCGTCAAGAACTGTAAGAAACTTACTCGGCTCGCAGTTTCTGGTTTACTTACGGATAGGGCGTTTAGTTACATAGGGCAATATGGTAAACTCGTGAGAACGTTATCGGTGGCGTTTAATGGAGAAAGTGATATCGGGCTGAAGTACATTTTAGAAGGGTGCACCAATTTGCAAAAGCTTGAGATCAGAGATAGCCCCTTTGGAGATTCGGCTTTATGGTCGGGTCTACACCATTTTTACAATATGAGATTCGTTTGGATGTCATCTTGTCGAGTGACTCGACAAGGGTGCACCAATGTGGCTCGACAGTTACCGAGGTTGGTGGTGGAAGTGTTCCGTGGGGATGGGGTGGAAGGCGGGGAGAGGGGCGATTTCATGGATACACTTTATATGTATCGGTCTCTCGATGGACCACGAACTGATGCACCACAGTTCGTCAAGATCCTGTGATTCCCAAGATCGTAAGCAATCCGTACAGATTCTCAACTTTCATCTGTTAACCCCTTTGGTTTACACTTTTGCTCGGTCTTGGTCCCTCCCAACAACTGTTAACTTCCATCCGTCATCTCACCCCATGTTACTTCCACATTTCAAGATTTCTTCGGCCGTTTCTTTCGGCACCGAGAACCGTAACGACCCGTTCCCGACCCAACTGTTTTCTGGCTCGTTCGATGCTTTTTGTGCCATAAAGATTCGATCTTTGAGATAAAAATGTGATGTTGATTTATTTGGTTGGATTCCCAAATGGTTAGATATGGAAAGATTTGAGGTTTCTTGAAGATAAAAAGGGGTAGAATGATGATGATGATAGTATTCTTTAATTTGGTAGCATTGAGGTCTGAGTCCTGCTTTCATATCCCTATTCAGATGTTAGTTTTAAAGGGTTCCAACCTCTGAATGATACATTTATATCTTCTTTTTCTTAGAATACTTGTTTTCAAGTCAAAAAGCACTTGAAGAATTTATTGGGAGATTTGTTGACCAAATCTAGAGTAATGTACAAGTTTTGATGCATGAAGTACAAGTTATTACTTATTAGAGTGTAATTGGTTGTAGCCGAGAGTGGTATTGGTCGTATATTTATAAAGGAATCAGAGGAGTCGTTTCATTTCTTTAATGTACAAATAGCATCAAATACAAAAAGGGTCGTTTTCTTTGTGTAGGAAACGACGACAGTGATGTACAAGTTTTTAATGCATAAAGTGCAAATGGGTATTAAATTCACAATTATTATGAATTAATTAAAGAATTATTTTGCAGTAAATTGGCTTACACAAAATCACGTTTTACGTCCCTAAATTAAAATAATTATAGAAAATGTCCCCTTATAGTTTACATTTCTACACGCCTTTAGTCCCTTAGGTTAAAAAATTTCTATTATAGAGTAGGTTTACTAGAATCATTTCACTTTTTCTTTTACATATTTGAATTCAGACTTTTAAGAAACCCCCCCCCCCCACACACACAGACACAGGGACCAAGAATGTAATTTTACTTTATTACATAACGCATGTCTCCCCTCCCACCGTCCAAACGACCACCAAAACCTTTCCTTTCTATCAAACCTACAATCAAAACCTTTCTCCGTTCCATCCCATTTAGAACCTGCAAAAAGAAATGGTCAAAACTTGCAAATCCATCAAAGCCCTTCCGTTAACTAGGTGTGTTCCATCTCCATCCGGCCTTTGAAATTTCAAAACACAAGGACGAACTCTACATACACCCCATAAGCCACGACCAACACCCTGTTTTACCTCCAACTCCGACGAACACTTTCATCCCCGCCTTTGTTCTCTGTCGACGAGTACCCCATCCTCCCCCACAACATCACTGAGTTGATGTCGATGTGAATCTGGATTGATTTTATATGAGGTTTTGTTCAATGTTTTTTTATTGAATAAATTACATGAAAAACTAATCCATTTCTATTTCAGGTAGTATACTTTTAAAACTTTCATTTTGATATCTAGTTGTAAAATTTTAAAAATTTAAGTATAATCTATTGAGTTGTTAGTTCTCCCCTATTGAAGTTGGTTTTATTGATTGTTGGTGATTAAGTTAAATGTGAAGAAGATGGTGGCAATCATGAAGTTGAAGGTAGCCAAAGAAAAAGCTCTTACCAGTGGATTACATGGAGATAAAAGACAGAGTAAATGGTCCATGTATGCCATGTGGTTTTAATATAAAATAAAAATAAAAATAAAAATAAAAATGACTAAATTGCCCTTCTAATTAACTTACTTAACAAATCCTTGTTAGAACACAAGGACCAAAGACGTACAAAAATGTAACCCAAAAGGACCAATCTTGTACGAAAATGATTAAATCACAGGAACGTTTTCTATAATTAATTTAATTAAGAAGGTACAGTAGAGTCTGTAAACCAAAAGGACCAATCTTGTAATTTAGTAAAGTATAATGAGTATTGGGGTCATTGAATGATGTGTGGAAAGAAATGTACAAGTACAAACATTGGTGGTCCCTTGGCACACCTAACCCATATTTCTAATGTGGTGCATTGGGTGGTTGTACACTGGGCATATTTGTAGGTACAGTTTTGTTTAAAAGGAAATTGTGGGGTCTAAACAGTCTTTTCAGATGTCACACCACCTGAATTGGCTTTATGGAGCTGCCAAACTTCTAAAGGCCTTTGCCTTTTTCAACCCCAATAAATAATACGCCTTTTTTTATTTTTAAATAAAACCAATATTTTTAAGGTATGTTTGGAAATTTATAAAAATAACCGTTTTACACAACTTCATTATGTACGCCCTCATAATGGGGTTGTGTAAAACGGTTATTTTTATAAATTTCCCTTCTTTTATATATATATATATATATAATTCATATGAAAATAAAAGTTAAAAGTAAGAGTTTAAGAAATAATTTGAATCCTTAATTATTTTTAATCTTAAAAACATCAAAACCATCAACGAATTGTGTTTTATAAAAGAATTGATCTAGATTAGTGTTGATCTAATAGTCTTCTTTCAATTATGATTTATTGAAATATGGAGATTTCTTCTTACTCTTTTTACTGAAATCCAACCATAATCAAACGAAAACTCAATAATTTGTGATAATCGTGAGATCCAATATAAATCACTCATTTCAGATAATTTTATTTTTTTAATTAATTTGAAAGGGCAATTTAGTAATATCATTTTTTATACAACTCACAGATCCTAATTTGAATTGAATTTTTTAAATGTAAAGTGAATTCTTAAAAATAAGTTTCTAATCTAATTTTAATATAAACTAGTATGGGAACCGCGCGTTGCACGGTAGCATGAGTGTTTTGATTAATGATGTGAGGATTGTCTATATAAATATATATTAATTGTTAATAAAATCATTAACAAATCATATTCAAATAATTCGAAAAAGTTAAATAAAATATAGTTAGTGAAATTTTAATACACACACACACACACACACACACACACATATATATATATATATAGACTTGGGATCATGTGAGACCAATGGTTTTTCGTGAGACCCGTAAGACCAATTCTCAACCCTTGGATTAGATTTACAATCGTCAGATCTGAACATTTATAAATGTCATGAGACTTCTCACTAATTACGAAATTGCCACCTTGCAACTTTGCAACCATTAGATCATTAATTCATAAATTTGATCAATGAACATAAATTGGTCTTGCGGGTCTCACGAAAAACCCTTGGTCTCACGTGAACTCAACCCTATATATATATATATATATATATATATATATTGAGAGAGAGATTTGTTTAGTAATAAAGTTGTAAAACTAAATAAAATGAGTAATAATAACAACGAAAATATTAAGAAATCTGACACAAACTTAAGAATAAAAAATACTACACAAAGATATGTTTCCTTCAAAGGATGATATACCTGTACCATTTTTCATCTTCAATGTGATAACCAGATCCTGGTTATTACCCAAAATATTTAATACGTGATTATTTTATTAAATAATTGTGTGATAACATGATAAACTGATATGTTTGATACATGCTGGTATGCAAATTTGTGCATTTAATTGGATAAATATATATATATATATATTTATGTATGCATAAAATATAAATGTATATATATATATTTATGCATGCAAATTATACATGGGTATGTATGCATGTGTGTATGCATGGATGCATGTGGGTAGCATGAGGTGGAAAGGGCAGTATGGAAGGCGGTTTGAGCCGACCTTCCATATTTGGGAGGTATAAAAAGGGTAGTCTCTCTTCATTTGTTGACCCCTGCTATTTTGAGAGGATTTGAGAGAGTTTTAAAGAAGTGTTATCCGGTTTAGAAAAGGAGGTGATTTCAAGTTGGTTTCAAGTGTCAAGTTTCAAAAGGGATCGATTTCCAGCAGTTTGGTTTTAAAAGCTTTACAAGGTGAGTGGTTTCTAAATCTTTTGTATAAAGTTTCTACTGGTTTTAATTGCATGTTTCGTATTGTTCTTATTTGGAAAGAAACCTTGATTTTATTGTCCAAGTGCTTATCCGGTCAGTTTATCCGGACAAAGGGTGACCGGATAAGCATTTAAACCGGACAAGCCTTAAACGGTTTATTGTCCGGATTGTTTTAAACCGGACAAGCCTTGAGCGGCTTAGTGACCGGACTAGTTTTAAACCGGACAAGCCATGAGCGGTTTGTTGTCCGGAGTTGGTAAACCGGTTGAGTGTTGAGCGGTTTGTAAATGGTAGTAGTATTTATGATTTTAAACTGAGAAGTAGGAATACAACCATGTGGTGAGCGGTTTAGTCTTAAACCAGACGAGTCTTGAATGGACTGTTGTCCGGATTTGTTATCCGTTCAAAATGTGAATTTGTTCTAAGTGTAAACCGCTCAAAGAGTATATGGTGAGTTGACCAGATTAGATGCCCGGACAAAATGGACTTTATTCCAAGTGTATTAAACTGGACGGTTGTTGACCGGACTTGTTAACCGGATGATTGTTGACCGGATTTGTTGACCGGACTTGTTGACCGAATTTGTGATGATGTTTTGTGTTTTTAAAAGAAATTGTTATTTTATCTTAAAAATGAAGTTTTGATATAAATGTTTTCAGACTGATAACAATTCCAATGACTGCGGTCTATTCGGAATTATTTTATAAATGTTTTGATGAAGTGATAAGGGTGGCATATCAGGAAGAGGTGTCCATTTGATATAAGGGTGGCATATCAAGGAGAGGTGTCCATTTGATCTAAGAGTGGCATATCAAGGAGAGGTGTCCATTTGATATAATGGTGTCATATCAAGGAGAGGTGTACATTTGATATAAGGGTGGTATTGTCTGTGTGTGATATTATATAACACTTTCTATTATATCCCTTAAGATTACCGTGATCTGGAATCTTTATTTCTTTGTGATTTAAAGATTTAGAATCAAGGTTCTTATTGGAAATCATAGTCTGGATGTTATTGAGAAGGAAACGTCAGGTTTGGCCTGAATCTTTGTTTAAACCTTAATTGATAAAGAAAAGGTTTAAAATGATATTAAATGGAACCCGATTGGTTCAAAGATATGAAGTTTGTATAGCTACGTGGTTAGCTTGAAAGTGGATAAGGATTTGATATTACCTTCTTGTATATTCAAATATTTGTGATATATGTGAATAATTTTTTTATAAAGGTTTTGGTGATTCTTCACCCTGCAATTACATGATTAGGGTAACTCATTAGACTTTTCAGTCTAACCCTCGTTTTGTGATTTTAAAATGTGTATTGCAGGAGGAATAGAAGGTAAAGGAAAGGAAAATATTTAATGTTTTTCTTATATGCATTCGGCTGCAGAATTGCTTTTGATGATTAGTTTTGTTGTTTAGTACAAGATTATATTTTGAATTTTTGGACCTTATATTTGGTCATGATAGATTCTTGTACTAAGGGACCCGAATGTTAAATGAATATGTATTTCTTTGAT